CAACGCAACACTCGCCAGATTTAATAGGTCGGTGCTTTGTGGTCTTCAGTAGCACTCTTTATTTCACACCGACTGGAGGCCATTTTCGGGCCATTTTGTCGCTATCCTTTGACGGCGTTGGTGATAAGTTTACGATTTTTGCTAGATCTTGGTCATGTTTATCTCCGTTAAAATTCAAATAAGCTGTCTTAAAATCCGTGAAGTAGGAAATGCCGGGACTTGTATGATGCCTGAAGAATGTCCTTCAGCTAGCCCCATCAAAGTGTTTCCTAGAGAAACAAAATCGGACGGAAAAATGTTACCGTGAATCAGTTAGTCACCATCCCTGCTGCATGTGACGTTTCGGTGACATGCTCGCGAAAAAGCTAAAACTGCACCGTAAATCTATGCGTCGGAGAACAGGCTTGCATGATCACCGACACCTATACCATTGAGGGCCATATGGAATTATCTCAGTAAGCTCCAGCCCCTTATTAGAGCTCCCAGTTAGGATTAGACATCATTAAACAATCGTAAACTTTGACGGATGACATTTTTCCAATAGAGTTTTTCAGTGCACTTTTCATAAACAAAAGCAAACCGGAAGATGCTAACATATTTGGAAGCTTCCCGTAGCACAGGGTGAAGCGGCAAAGATCGGATGAAGTGTATTTTCAGTATAGCTCTGTCGAGATCGAGTATAGGAAATAAGAAAATCGATAAGATACGATACAGTTTTATTCAAAATAAAGTGCGGTGGTCAAAATCACTCTTGTTTGGCTGAAACTTGAACGTGGGTGTGTAGGATTCCCGTGACCGCATCGTTTGCCTACTCCGCCACTTCACGGATGATGCACCTACGAGCTGTCATTGGATGCACATTTCAAATAGTTTGTAGTGAGAATGATCTTCCTTTCTACAGAATTTGGCAGGTTTGCAGACAAAGTTCAATGTCAGCTACCGAGTGCGGAAAATTTCTCGGTAAATGTCACTGGAAAATAAGTAGTTACACCAGTATCATTGTCTCTCATGCCATTAGCCATTTTACTGGGTGTACTTTACCACTAAGAATCGAACAGGTTTTAATACATCGTGTAGCCGTCATGCTGGGATGCAGAGGGTTATAGATTCCAGTACCGAATGAACAGGTTCTCCGGGTTTGTGCGAAAACCTATTCTCCTATTGAGAAAAACCCAAAGAACAAACGGATAAATCATCACAAAAAATATGTCTGAAACCTTATGGACAATCTAGAGGTGACTTGATGATTTCGGTGATTTCAACAACTATCTCAAGAAACTGAAGAGCACTTAAACTGCCCGCTGCTTCGAGTGTTCACGCACCTGAATGTTATACGCTTCATTTATTTTTGCGTCTAGCATTCTTGCAAATCTTGCCCAGTAAGTTCGTGTTATCTGAGCACAGCTAAGCTGGACTTCCATAATGTCACAAAGAGTGCTTCTATTCGGAGGCAAGTGAGCACTTTAAGTAACAATTTCGGGGTTCAAGTAGCGACCGGATGACTGTGGGTTGATCAGGTGACGGAAACGTCTATCACGATCACATTTTTAGATACGAGTGTCTTGGCAAAATGTTGACTTTATCCGATTATATGCTATGATACCCTCGTCACTTCGAATAGGAGACCCTTATAAGAAACAGTGCAACGGGTTGAAATTTTATTGGGCGGTTATTACCACTGAGTGGGCGTATTGGAGAAGCATGCATTCCTTTGCCGAATGCAGTCAGAAGAATAACCAGTGGCTTCTATCAGTTCATATCCCCGGTCATATTCCGAGAATAGGTGGTTGGTTTTAGTTTCTCTCGGGTAAAGGTTCTTCACAGTATCTGGAGCATGTATTTTACCGTTGAGCTAAAAGAACCATAGGCTGTGCCATGAATTGCATCTGGTAAGAATGCTTTGCGGATTTCGTGCACGAATTCGTCCAGTTTTGGTTCCAAGTAATGTAATCAACTTAGGTAACAAAGCAACTTTTGTGTAATAAAAACGCGGCAAATAAAGAAAACAAATTTATTACTCTGGGTGTATTTACGAGTTGTTATATGCTGCTTTTTGTACTCAGATATACACAAAAGCGTGTTACCCACTTTTCTTCTCCTAGTAAGTTATTAAAAATTAGGGGCTGGAATAATAACCTTTGTTGGAGTATGCCTCTACCTAAGTTGAATGAGGATGTAAATGAAGAAATTTTGATGAGAAGTACAAGGACCAACATCTCTTGTTATGGCTGACTTGTCAAGCAAGGTGGGAATGAATGCGGGAACATCTGGCTGAATAAACCCACGTAAAATATGCCATCTACCATCATATCCAGAACAATAGAAGACGTGTTCTAAGGGCCATTTTACAATCGGGACTGATGATTACGGTGAGTGTGCTCGACGTGAAGTAACTCAGTCTAGTCCACACAGAACATGGGAACGCAGCTTACATTGTGTGCCCACGATAACCTAATGAGTAGTACTATTTCGATCTTTATATAGACATTGCATATGTCCATTGTTATCGTACACCATAAAGTTTACGCAACAAATGCAAAGACAACTTGAGTTTGAATAAAATATGAAAGAAATAGTGAAGAGAAAGGAAGAGAAGGATTTGATTTAGCGAACCAGAAAACTGGTACAAAATCCCAGTTCGAAAAGTACTGACTTATACAGGTCGAAATTTTATTCATGTAATTTAATCAATTTACGACAGCTGGGCACACATTCAGTTCACTAACATTCGAAACATGAATAACTGCAGTTAGTTACAGCAACATTTAAAAACAAACAGATAAATGGGAGAATTGTCTTCTGCCGTCTATGTGCAATAAATTATGACCCGGTTTGGGAAATTCAGGGAGTAAATTCAAACTTCCTTCAGTGTAGGACACCACCCACAAGGTTGCTGAAAAAAATCGACGACTATAAACTGAAGCTTCAGGTGGTTTCCTGGCAAAACCAACTTTGTGTGCGTATGAATGTATTTGTCGACATCTTCTAGCTTACTGCCAGTCAAATACAGAAAGGAAAATAAGAATGATCAAGCACCAAGATCATGTGCCATTTGGTGGCATCCTAAACAAATATGATGACCAACGGCGCTTGAACGCTCCACATCTGCACACAGACTTTTTACTTGGACGGTGTATAATGCTACACGATTGCATGGCCTTTCACAGCCCAGGCTACATAACCACCGGGAAAACAAACAGAGCATTGTTGCAAGCGATCAGTCTGATTCCAGGACGGTGGGAACTAGTACCAGTCATTTCAAATCAGACCTCTGGCATCACACTCTAATCTATTCATGCTAATACGGAATAAATCAACCCCGCAGTTAACGTTGCAGAAGTTCGTGAAAATAAATGTCACTTCTCGTTGAAGCTGTCCGATCAAAATGAGAATGTAGACAAATACCCATGCATCTTTCAAGATAAGGGACCGGCCAGTCGACCGACCGTTTGAGCGGTTTTGTCCCCTCTTCATCAGTGTGTCATAGTTGAGATGTGTTTAGATGGTAGTCAGAAAGTCAGATCCGCAATACTAGACACTGGCTTGCAACACATTCATAATAGTGGTTGGCTAGTTAAGAGAACAATAAGCACATCTTGCTGACTGTTTTTGAAATCCCGTAATTCACACTTGGACTGGAAGTCTTCTTAAGGCTATCAGAAGCCTGGGGTTAGTGGACATATCTCCAAAGTAAACCGATCAAGAAGAGTTTAATCACGGTGATTATCGGTTTGGCACATTTCAGTGGAATGCATTCTCCCTGATAGTAAACTTCGTAAACGTCGTTCTGAATAGCCGAATTAAGATGGTTTATCAAGCATGGACATAAAGCCCCAAAGTTCAACGTCAGATTTTATATTCAGAAGTAACCTGAAGCGTACTTCGATGGTCTTTCTTGTATATTAAATGAATCAAGCTTCCTGGACTCTGATGTATATTAAATAAATCCTCTTAGGAATATTTTTGCTTGATGATTCAACTCTGTATCTAGCTTCTTCATGCGCAGAGATGAGTCGCTACACTGTTTCACGAGTCCACACTTTGCGAAATAAGTGACAGCTGATGAAAAATTGCTAGTATGCTAATCTGCTAACATTTCTCGCGTTTAGCAACCCATCAGTTTGGAAAAACGAAACCTCCTTTCTTCTTATTCCGGTATTCCGCTGTTAGAAATGATTCGATAATCATCCCAGCTGAGGCAAATAACGAATTAAACAATAGGAATGATGGAACACGAAGTACAACTCAATGTCATAGTACTCTAATGGGCTGTGTTCCTCATTAACCAGCACAGGGCATATGTTTTTCGCGTGCTGTGTGACAACGTCACACTGGTTGCCACGCAATAATTGTCACTAGCTTTACGACCACCTCTACATCACATTCATGGTCTGGCTGAAGATTCCTCCCTATATAACCTGTCACACTGTTCTTGGTGACGTTTCTATGACATACCGCACAAATTACAGAGTAAGAAAGCATAGTAGCTTGGAACTCTCTTGGTATTCAACAGTGTCCCCAACGTATCACAGCAGTGTACCCAATGAGAGCTGAAAAACCAAACAGTTAACCTTGATTCTGGTTTATTGAGGTAATTGTTGCGACAATATCATCTCCCGGTGGTGTTACTTCCTCTCTGCGAAAATATATGAACATATAAGAAAACGAATTAACTGAGAATAGCATGCAGTTGTAGCTGGAAAATTAATTATATGATGAAAAATGAAGTTTTAGGTTTGGAGAGGAGCAGCCAAAAAACTCAGCTGACTAAAACATCGATGACGATTTGCTTCGTAAGCTAGAAACCAAGTCAACAAACGAAGCACATCCGTGCTCAGATAGGTACACTGCCTCGCATAATTTACAGATCGTGGGTTGCAACTAAATACATGTTTTGCTATACTCACCAAAACTTCGTCGTTGGTTTCTCACACACATGGACGGGTTAAATGCAGACAACACGAACATAAAAGAATCGTAGTGCAATAAGTCCTCATCTAATTGGCCAACGCCGGCTTCCGAACGACCGTTACGCATGACTCTTGGATATGATTCAAATGGTTTGAATTCACACTTGTCCTCTCCCCATCGATCGATGCACACGGAGCATAGGCTTTCGGGAAGGGAAGGGGCAGTTCGGCAGATGCGCAACGATGAGTCGCCTTTGGTTGGTTGCCACTGTCCGCTTGTTGAAACAAAATAAGATCGTTTATAACCGGTGTGCCTGGTGATTTTGGCACATGGTCCACAGCTGTCGTAGTGGGATTTTGGAACCCCCTCATTTGCTGCCCATCTAAGATGTTTTGTTGTAAGGACATTGGGTTATGATGCATCTGTGAACTGGCAGACTCAATGTGTTTCAACGATACAGGATGCTTATTTAGCCTAGCAAACTTTCGCCGACCATTTTCTGAATTACATACGTTGAGTTCGGAATAGCGTCCCAGCGAACCACTTCGAACAACACCAACGCCTCGAGTTTCACTCATAGAATGGTTCGATGGTGCGGGACTTGCGGATCCGTTTTGATAAGGCACAATGACACCACGTGTTGTGACTGGAACAAAAGTAAGCACGCCTGAACTGTCATTATAAAGGGAAGCACGCCCCGCTGAGATAGGATATCCTGACAAATGACCATACTGAGGGCCAAGTGCAGCGTAGGAAATTTGGGCTCCATGAATTCCAGGAATGGCACCACAATCACTCAAATTACTAGCGGTCATTAGGACGTTGTTCACACTTGCCGTATCACCAGTAAGGTGTGCTAGCCCTGCGTGTCTTGGAGAGGTGTCTGTGAAATACACAGGGGATGGTTGACCAACATTAATTTTCCCATTTGTTTGGAAATACGAGGGTGACGGGTGAGGATCTCGACAAACGCTCAGTTCAGAGGGTGGTGCTTTTTTTCTGTAAAATCCTGGAGTTTTGCGCAGGCGAATACACAATGTTAGAGCAGCAATGGCAAAAACAATACACAAAAAACTTAGGAGTGCACAAGCGACGCGGGAAATAATTAACTGCATGTACAGCTCACGGTTCTGTCGTTCGGCTTTTGAAAGGGAAGCTGTTAAGATTCGAGAGGTGTTTAAAACTTTGAGTAACTGTGGGTCGTCCGTGCTTTCTGAAATAGATTCCGTAGGGTTAGGAGTGATAGGACACTCTTTTCGAGAGCAAAGTACATGCTGAGGTGTGACGAGGTGGTCCGGAGATATTGGATCAATCAGTTCCAGCTTCAGTTGTTGCCCAGGACGAAGTAGTACCATGACATTCAAATCGCCGACTCGGTCAGCCAAATAGAAGTAACGGCTCTCGTCAGCAAGCTGTGCAGCCACACCAGTAATAATGCGGCCATCTTCTGCCTTATCAGCCCGCAAAAGAGCATCCAGACGATTTAAATCAATCATTGTTGTTGTAAGTTCCTTGTTAATACGTTTAAGCTCCTCCTCTGGCCGGTTACCTTGATTTTCTTCCTCTTCATTGCCATTTAAGGCACTGCGAACAACGTGACCGTTCTGAAGTTGGAGACGCGTGCACGCCAATGCATGTCCGTAAGCATCAAGGCTGGAAGTGGGCGGAGGAACAAGCCACGCATAGCTGATGTTGCATTGTCCAAGACGGCGGACACCTGTCTTCCCAAGAATCTGGTAGGAGTCCGCGGGTAAAATTCGGCGATTATGGCCATAAATCACTTGGCCGGTAAGTATCCCAGTTGAGTATATGCAAACGATTGTTATGAACAAATTCAGTGTTCCCGATAAGGGTCTCCTATGCATGGTTTGTGATCGGGAGAATAACACAGAGATAGTCCATGTGAAAAGTCAAGGTTTCGGAAAGTGAGAAGTGTGTACACGTTTCACATATCCTTAGCAAGGCAGAATACCTCAGGGCAGTTTTCTACCATCTATGAGCAGGACAATCATATGCACGTTGCAAAATCACAATCGTTCGCTAAGCCTCAGAAGCATGAATGCGATTGGCTTTCTTGATGTCTGAAAGCTAGCTTCTGATTGGCTACGGCAATGTGCACATGGCTAAGCGCACCGTTTCCTATTGCTTTACGGTTGATTAAACCTGACCTATCAACACCAATAAAATAAATCGACTACGTGCACCAGAATGAAAAACTGAATTGATGGGTTCATCTCACTTTGAACAAGAGTCCGCAGAACGTTAAAAACGCACATCGGCCTTTTTATTATGTCCACGACAGTAATGGCCACGGTGTTGTGTAAAACACTAGGTGAAAATGGAGTAAAATGCGATATCACTAGTGGAAACTCAATATGCATATAAATATATCACAATTCTCCGTCTCAATCCATAAAATCAGACCATCCTCCCGCATACCTGTTCACAGACAAATGTTACTGGCGCCTGTCGTTCTGTCTTATACTTGGAAGGACTCGCAGCTCATCTCCTTAGTGCCCATTCGGAGTATCTGAAAAATTGTTATCTAACATCAAAGGGAAAAGTGTCCGTCGCCCAAACAGTCTGTCAAGATTCCTTAAATTTCTGCTACCTCCGGTTGCTTGATTATGTTTTAGAAGACCCTGTTTCTTCTGGTGAAAAACGGGTTAACAGGAAGTAAGCTGCTAAATTGCTCGCTAAATGGAGTCACATGGGTTTCCATCTCATGACATGTTGGGATATCTACATACGGCCGATTAAACTTTGCTTCCCCTCAGCGGTAAAAAGAAGTGTCATTGTTCGTGTCGAAATACGAAGACCATCAAAACAAAGCAGTAGGAGTCATTTTGGTCAGCAATGTTGCATGACAGCCACTAGTTGAGTGCAAATTTACATTTTGCAGTAAATTTGGCAGGTTTTGGTTGTTTGTATATTTTTGACTCCATATGTTTTCAGCAAACAACACGTTTCACTCAGCATAGATAGTCCTTTAAATCGCTTTGTTTAATTCATACCACGAAAGAATAGGCCAGTTGACATCATTAAGGAAGCGCAGAATACGCGGCGTTTCAAAGCACTGATATGTGAGACCCTGCATACATTATAACCCATTGATATAAACGCCGAAACATCTAAGACTCTGTTGCCTGTCGATTGGATGAGATTGGCAAGAGTGCTGAAAACTCACACGATCTTTCAACCGTAGAGTCATCCGAAAAACTGACAAATTTCATCAATATGAAGCAACTGGCGATTCCCCAACTTTGTGATCATCAGTCCATGAAAATCACTAGCCACACTGGCCCATTTAATTTAAGTCAACCTACATCTAGGACCCAAACCTTTGCGTTCCTCACAGAGGCGATCCGAATCCAGCTGTAAATAACGACATTATTTCAAACGATATTACTGTTAGATATGATGCCCGAGTAGTAAAAAAAGACCCTGCGTTGTGCAAGTAATGTGACCTATTTATTGTCAAGCAAGATATATCAAAAGTATCTACAAGCGCGGAAGTAAGTGACAATTCGTAGAAGATATTTTCCACATGATCTAAGCCCAAATGCTCCAACAATAGAAATACATGTAAAATGTTCCCTCTGGTAACGTTTTTCTACGTGCTCGTCAGTCCAATTATAGTAACGTGCCTTATTAAAACCCAAGACATGGAGAAAAGTGCAACACATAACGATAATAAGGGATTACAAAGGCACAGTTATATCCGTCATTTTTACTGCATTAAGCAACATGGACTGTTTGTGTCGGTCATTTAGTTGCCTGTACCGTGATAACGTAAACTTGGGTGCTGTCTTTGTCATCATAACGGATCAGCATGAATGACACTGCTGAATAAGCTAAAGTGCGGTGATCATCCTGGACATGATCGTATCACATGCGGAAAAACCTGTTTTTCATATATTGGGATTCAAAGCTAGATAGAAAATAAGCATTAGTGGTGACCTTATATAAATAATACTAATGGACTATCAGTAAAAATGTACCTGTATGCTAAAAGCTAGTCAAGAAAAGGCTGCGCATACGAGTAACATTTTGTTTAACCAGGAGAAATAATTAAGTTTAGATATATTTAAATGTTGAAACGTAATGAGTAAGTGCAGCCGACATTGTTAGCTCACAGGTACTCCAGCAAAAAATAACGCCTAGTATTCTAGCTTAAATAACTTGGAAATGTCTTGTGTTACCTAAAACCTTTGGGTGAAGCGCAAACGTGACCATGCGCATGAAGACGTCCAACAGAATTTTTATGTTTGGCAACATCTTCAGGAAGCGCCTGATATAAGCTAGTCCACGAAATAACCAGTGTCCTTAATGAGTTATTATAAGAGTGATGCATCGAGTACTGCCAGTCTCCAAGCTATTTCGTATTAAACGACGTCCATGGTATCTACTGAAGCAAATGACTGATTAATTGAACTTGTCAGGATTAGCCCTGCGATTGCGTATATTATGCGGTTAGGTATTATACAGACGCATACATATGTGTACATATATTTATATATACAAGTGCTGTTTTAGTTTGATTTTGATGACTATCTGAATAGACTGTGCAGTAAGAGTTAGGGGAAAGAGAACAAAGACAAATTATCAGAGTAAGTGCTACTCATCATATTCAGGTAAGTTTTTAGCAATTAAATCCATATATGTGGTGTCCAAATTCCGCAGACAGCACGCGTCAACCGAAACCCTGAATATGGAGGTTGTATCTGCAACTCAGTACAATGAATACACCTGGAACAGGTTTTCACATTTTCCGCTTATAGTTCAGGTTGTGAGAAAGTGGTTTACCCAAGCCCATTTTAATCATACAGACTGCAGCACCTACATTTATATCAACCTTGACTCACACAGGAAGTAACCTTCCAGTATGCGGCACACAGAGTAAACGAGTGAACAACTAACAATGATTCAGCCAGCAGTGGTCACCACGTGCCCACAAAAGAGGGAAGGCGGCTATTTTTTGGCTTGAATTCCTTCAGTAAAACAAGGGATTTTTTGTCTACTCGAAGCTCAGGCAAGAATACAACGAAGGATTTTCATACACTGAGCTGGCCGCAATACTTGACTCTACGTACTGGTAGCCATCGTACTATGTGGATTGTTTCTCTAACCAAATTGTTTCAGAAGTCTTGTCTCCCACTCAGAGATCACCGGCCCGGTTCACTATATAAGTGATATGATGGCAGAACCAATGTTAAAGACATTATTCATGTCATGCTCACATGATTTTTACGTACGGTTTAGTGTGGAATTCACTGCTAGCTAATTCAGTTTAATTGTTTCTGATAACTTCACTCGATAATCGGTGGGATATGGACCAGGTGAACTTGGTTTTGGCCAAGCACTATTTTCTTTATGGTTCAACATTCCGCTCAAAAACCGTGCCCGTTTGGAAGGTTCACTGATCAGATCGAAAGTGATTCGATGGTGGCGCTGTTTGTGTGCTTGACGGAAATTCAAAACACCCAAGATTTTACGGCTTTTCAATCAAGTCACCTAAAAATATGGGCTTCCGTTACCCAATAGATAACTCTGATGAACCAGTTAAATGGCAATTAATGAGTGTAGACAAAATTTCAGGCCGAACCATCGCAGAGATTTCCATACAAATGTCAAAATTTCTTAAAGGCAGCCTTTTTCAGAACTAATTACAGTAGTGTGTAACCGCTTCAGCGCCCCACTGCAGCCAAGTTAAGCTGCAAAACGTAGCACACAGTAGTGTTCTCCTGGGATTGCCCTTAGCAGAAAATGCAACCTGATCAACAGCCAACAAACCCACCCAAACTGTCAATATTTACGCGTACTGTCTAGAGTTAAACGTACGGTGTATATTCATTCGTGAATTTGGAATGACAGTGGGGCTTGTATTTTGGTCTTTTTTCACTAGACTTTTGCACCAGAAAGAATATATTGTTATTGTGTAGGTGACCAAGAGTGAATATCGCCTCGTCTCTTCAGACAAATATGATCCAAGGGGGTTCAGTAATGTAATTATTTCTTGTAGTGTGAATAGCATTGGTTTTCCGCGTGGCTTCGCAATGGTGGGAATCTGGTGCAAGATTTAGGAAACCATACTCACGCTATCGGACAGTTTGTGCATAAGATAGTTACTTCAGGCAAATCCATTCCAGATTTGGAGGACTTTCTGAGCTTGGAAATGAATTTCTGAAGGCTGTAGGACTATCTTTAGAATGATGAACCCATAAACACCCAAAAATTTGCATTTGACTACTGGAATTACTTGAATTGAGTTTGCTTAGGCGAACATACATACAATAAAACCCTGTCAAATGGCCGCAACAGACAACTACATGATGGCACATCAATTATTTTCAATTGTTATTACTACCAAATGCCGTAGGTGAGTAGTGACGCTTGATTTGAACAAAGCAATCTCAGCTTGTTTGAGTATTACACTTTTTTCATTATTCTAAACGGTAGCCATGTTCGTTTTAGATATAGGTAGCAAACGGCATAACACGTATTGCCAGATGAAACCAGGCGTTCATCCCGTGCTTGTAATCTTGTGGAAATCGTGGTTACCAACGTCCGTTGCGATCTCAGTACTGGGATGAACACCATCCCGCAATGCACTGTGTTCCTATCACGCTGTTTACATTTCAACGTGATGGCTTCTGTGTATCCAAAGTAAGTAAGTTTGCGAAATTCTAATAATGTATTCAGACCCTTTGTACCACGAAAGCGTTTGGGCGCAGCTTGGTGCGTAACTGAGTCGAAAATTATGTGTGAACTTTTGTTATTGGATGCTTCTCACCACAGTTAGTGCAGATTTCACAATCATGAATCAACGGTGACTGGAAAACAGTATCGTGTACATCAAGAACTACGGTAAGAGGTCAAGTTAATGTGCATGTGATCAAGAAAAAGAAGTTTTCACAAACTTGCGTCATTATTAGCATCAGAAAGGAATTTCACTGAAGCCCTGTATTCAAGGTAACTGCAAGAGCGGTCTTAGTCTACAGTTGTAATACTAAACCCCTCCTAAGACAGGCTTCTTCGAATTTCTGATAACCCGAGTCTCCACTTATTAGGAGTTAGCCGGCTGTATCGAGTACATGACGAGGTGGTTTGTAATTGGGTTATTAGGAGCGAAACCGAATCCACGGATCAAACAAAACCCTGCCGAACT